TCCCTTTCATCAAACTAAGTGGTTCGTAGTTGGTTGAATTCTTGTACCAACCCGCAGATCCTGATGTTATCTCAAGGCATGACGCTGTTGATATGCCGTAATATATATATATATATATATATATATATATATATATATATATATATATATGTCGTACCTAGTAGCCAGAACGCACTTTTCGGCCTACTATGCAAGACCCGATTTGCCTAATAAGCCAAGTTTTCCTGAATTAATATATTTTCTCTAATTTATATATATATATATATATATATATATATATATATATATATATATATATATATATATATATGTAGTACCTAGTAGCCAGAACGTCGTACTTGGCCTACTATGCAAGGACCGATTTGCCTAATAAGCCAAGTTTTCCTGAATTTATATGTTTTTCTATTTTTTTTTTCTTATGAAATGATAAATCTGTCCATTTCATTATGTTTAAGTTCATTTTGTTAAATTTGAGTTAAAACTAAAGTTGATATATGACCGAACCTAACCAACCCTACCTAACCTATCTAAACGTAATCTAATCTAACACAACTAAGTAAATAATTTATGTTCCTAATATAATATAATAATAATTCAAATAAACTAATTGGAAACAATTTATTGAAAATAAAGACAATCTCTCGGCCTATTAGGCAAATCGGGCCTTGCATAGTAGGCCAAGAAGTGCGTTCTGGCTACTAAGTACGACATATATATATATATATATATATATATATATATATATATATATATATATATATATATATATATATATATATATATATATATATATATATATATATACTAACCTAACTTTTTCGGCTACCTAACCTAACCTAACCTAACCTATAGAGATAGGTTAGGTTAGGTTAGGTAGGGTTGGTTAGGTTCGGTCATATATCTACGTTAATTTTAACTCCAATAAAAAAAAATTGACCTCATACGTAATGAAATTGGTAGCTTTATCATTTCATAAGAAAAACATTTGAGAAAATAAATTAATTTAGGAAAACTTGGCTTATTAGGCAAATCGGGCCTTGCATAGTAGGCTGAGAAGTGCGTTCTGGCTACTAGGTACGACATATATATATATATATATATATATATATATATATATATATATATATATATATATATATATATATATATATATATATAGTTAGTTACGGTTCCCCATCCTATAAAACCCGGTATGCCGACAGTAAGAGTCATATCTCTATAACCTGTACGTTCTCTGATGTTCAGGGAACAGTTTGTTATGTATGTGAAGGATAGCCTGAGTTATCGTGTGGAGATAAATTACGGTTTATTTTTGGGTTCATGGCTTAAGGCTTTTATCATAGCAAATATGGCTCAGGGGATGAAAGTTCCCGCCAGAGGAAGCCAGGACGCGAGGCATTGTGGGCGCGGCAGCCGCCTGGCGATTGGTCAGTGCAGGTCACATGACAGCGATGACCAATGGGGGAAGCGCCCCAGGGTGTGACGTCAGCACGGCGGCGGGCGCCAGCAGCTGAGCTTGACAGGAGCTCAGAGCTCATCCAGCCGTGACAGAACGCATTTAGAGCTCTCCAGCTTGCAAGGCCAGGGAGCCTCAGACGGTAGATTATACAACTACAGTCGTTAAAACAGACGTCAAGGAAGACTTATAAACTCCAGGGAAGCGTAAGAAGGCATAGATCAGCTGGTGAAGAAGGCGCAAGCAGCTAAGAGCCATCAAGTCTATGAGAGTGAGGGCAGACGCTGGGAGGAGCCGTGCAGTTTCCCGCGGGTCGCACTAAGATACGACTGAGAGAAGCTGAACTCACAGGGTTTAATCCACTATGCGGTAAAGGGACATTGTGAACGAGACCTCTGGGAAGTGTCAACCAGTTCAGGTGTGGGAGGGAAGATGTGAACAGTGCCAGCATGCAGTGCCAGAAGGAGCTACTGTGAGAGGATCGGGCCCGGTGATGATGCGCTTAGCTACGACTCCCCGAGAGACCCTGCGAGCCGGCCCCGTGTTGTCATCGAGGAGCTGATCCACGAGCCCGGGACCCCAGCTACCATCACCAGGAACCTACGACTATTGTAGCAGAGAGAGAGTACACACACAGTGGGTGACGCAACATTTTTGCGGATGATACAATATTAATGTGAAGAGTTGTGACAGATGAGGATTGTAGGATCCTGGTTGATGGGGTTCCAGGAGTTCTTCTACTCCCCAAGCCTGGCCCCAAGTGACTTGTGAGAGTTTGGTCCACCAGGCTGTTGCTTGGAGCGGCCCGCAGGCCCACACACCCACCACAGCCCGGTTGGTCCGGCACTCGTTGAAGAAAACTATCTAGTTTCCTCTTGAAGATGTCCACGGTTGTTCCGGCAATATTTCTTATGCTTGCTGGGAGGACGTTGAACAACCGCGGACCTCTGATGTTTATACAGTGTTCTCTGATTGTGCCTATGGCACCTCTGCTCTTCACTGGTTCTATTCTGCATTTTCTTCCATATCGTTCACTCCCCAATCGCCACGATTTCAAGGCCGGGTCGCAGGAAGGAACTCGAGCCCGTGGTAGATTGGGGGTGTTCCCAGGGTGGTCAGTAGCACCCAGGTCAAGTGGGAGCAAACACCTGTGACAATTTATATTATAATAATAATAATAATAATAAATTCCTACAGGTTCCCTTGTGAACGCCTATTCAACAAGGGGGGGGGGGAGGGGAGGGCAGAATACTTAGGTAGGAAATGATACTATCTCCAGTGGTTCGTAGCTACGATGTGTCGCCAGCTCACAAGTTCCTTCACCACATCCTTGACTGCTACCTGGCTCACACATCCTCGTCCTTCCTTGGGTAACACAGGCGTGGCGCTTGATCCTCTCGACACACCGGGGGGAGGGGACACGTTCAGTGGGGTGTCCAACGCCGGGGTCGACACTGCGTTTCCTTTGACCCTCGTCGCTTTCCGAGATGTACCTTTTCCCGGCAGCCTTATGTCAGTGCCCAGTGCACCGATTCACTGCCATGGAAGATGGTATGACGATGGCCGACTTCACTAGTTGAGTCGGTTTCGATACAGGGCGCCGTCACTGTCTGTTCACTATATTCACCGTCTTTATAGGGTAACCAGAGATATTAATTTTTGCTTCACTTACTCACCTCACTTGTTACCATGTAGAAATGTTTGTCGTCAACAAACAGGTGCCCACAGCCTCTTCGCTGGCACAGTTAAATAAAACATTCCCCTCCCAGGATCACACTCAACATTCCACTTGCCTCTTCACAGCCGAAAAATCCCAAGCAGCACTCGCTTACCGTGATCTCTGTCGTGTCTTCACTCGCCTCTTCAACGGCTATTCCTTGTGGACTCATACACACCGAGTCATTACCACTGCCTCACCAGGGGAACACGTTTACCTGTTGATTGACAGTTGAGAGGTGGGACCAAAGAGCCAGAGCTCAACCCCCGCAAGCACAAATAGGTGAGTACTGCCGACGCTCACTGGTCGACACTGTCACGAGGCTTCGACGCTCAGTCGATTCGCGTTGACCCACCAAGGTCCAAATGAAGGTACTTGCAACTCCCTTCACTGAATCTGGTATGGTGTCGTCTCTCCAAACTCTCAGTCTCCGCAGGTCCCTTCCTCGACTATACTGGTACGTCATTATCCAGAAAGGTCCCTTTGGCGCCTCAATGTGGTCGGAGTTCTCTTGCCTTTTGGGCTCAATTCGCCACTTATGATTCAAATCTGTCCATTTTCCCAAGAGCACCCAAGGTCACGAGATCTCCCCCTCCCAAGTCTAGTTGAACAGTGAGCCGGGCTCCGCTCCCTGGGACAGCCTCAGTGCCCGCCGATGACGTCACAGAAAGCTCGTCGCTGACTGGCTGAGCACCTGAGCCCTCGCCACTCACCTCTCTCGTTGAATGAGCTCTAGACAACTGTCGCTGCACTCTAAAAGTTCCCGGATATGTCACCGGGAACCTGGGCGCCATTTTGTTTTCCAATCTGCCACAGTTTACCCCTTTACCGCCAAATATCAGGCAAGCTTGTGTAAAAGACTCGTTCCGTCTTAACTTCAAATTGCTTGGGCCGTCTGCGATCTTTCCAGGTGGGTAAAAATGACTCTTGAAGGCGGAAAGGTCTGTTATTAAACAGCTGTCATAACACTGGTGGGAGCGAGTGTCTGGCAGACAGGCTTGGGAGACTGTTGGTGCAGGCAGCACTATACACCACAATTCCCAAGTATACCACAATTCCTCCCCCCAGCATACTTTACCCTCGGGTGAACAAGTATACACAAGAGCCAAGGTGTACACGACTATCAATACTGATATCAGGTAAAGGCTTCCCTGGAAATATTTCCATTGGCAGCTGATCACCCAGGATCAGGTGAAGCACCCTCATGACTCACACCTTCCCCTCACAATTACACCCTTCCCACACACACACACAATTTACGCCACAATATATGTTATATTCTCTGTTTACGATATCGTTAGGTAACCAAAATAAAGTATTGGAAAGGAATTTTCTGTAAATACGAATCCCAATAACATTTAAGTTGTGACTGTGTCAGGAAGTAGATACACACACGGGCAAGAATGACAACATTGGATTTTTTCCTATTGCGTAAATTGTTGGAAAATATTGTACTCCCCAGCATGAGGACAGTGGTCACCCACATGTCACCCAGCATGAGGACAGTGGTCACCCACATGTCACCCAGCATGAGGACAGTGGTCACCCACATGTCACCCAGCATGAGGACAGTGGTCACCCACATGTCACCCAGCATGAGGACAGTGGTCACCCACAGGTCACCCAGCATGAGGACAGTGGTCACCCACATGTCACCCAGCATGAGGACAGTGGTCACCCACAGGTCACCCAGCAACAGGACAGTGGTCACCCACATGGTCACCCAGCAACAGGACAGTGGTCACCCACAGGTCACCCAGCATGAGGACAGTGGTCACCCACAGGTCACCCAGCATGAGGACAGTGGTCACCCACAGGTCACCCAGCATGAGGACAGTGGTCACCCAGCAACAGGACAGTGGTCACCCACAGGTCACCCAGCATGAGGACAGTGGTCACCCACATGTCACCCAGCAGGAGGACAGTGGTCACCCACAGGTCACCCAGCATGAGGACAGTGGTCACCCACATGTCACCCAGCATGAGGACAGTGGTCACCCATATGTCACCCAGCAGGAGGACAGTGGTCACCCACATGTCACCCAGCATGAGGACAGTGGTCACCCACATGTCACCCAGCAGGAGGACAGTGGTCACCCACATGTCACCCAGCATGAGGACAGTGGTCACCCACAGGTCACCCAGCATGAGGACAGTGGTCACCCACATGTCACCCAGCATGAGGACAGTGGTCACCCACATGGTCACCCAGCAACAGGACAGTGGTCACCCACAGGTCACCCAGCATGAGGACAGTGGTCACCCACATGTCACCCAGCAACAGGACAGTGGTCACCCACATGGTCACCCAGCAACAGGACAGTGGTCACCCACATGTCACCCAGCATGAGGACAGTGGTCACCCACATGTCACCCAGCATGAGGACAGTGGTCACCCACAGGTCACCCAGCATGAGGACAGTGGTCACCCACAGGTCACCCAGCATGAGGACAGTGGTCACCCACAGGTCACCCAGCATGAGGACAGTGGTCACCCACAGGTCACCCAGCATGAGGACAGTGGTCACCCACAGGTCACCCAGCATGAGGACAGTGGTCACCCACATGGTCACCCAGCAACAGGACAGTGGTCACCCACAGGTCACCCAGCATGAGGACAGTGGTCACCCACAGGTCCCCCAGCAACAGGACAGTGGTCACCCACAGGTCACCCAGCATGAGGACAGTGGTCACCCACAGGTCACCCAGCATGAGGACAGTGGTCACCCACATGGTCACCCAGCAACAGGACAGAGGTCACCCACAGGTCACCCAGCATGAGGACAGTGGTCACCCACAGGTCACCCAGCAACAGGACAGTGGTCACCCACAGGTCACCCAGCAACAGGACAGTGGTCACCCACAGGTCACCCAGCAACAGGACAGTGGTCACCCACAGGTCACCCAGCAACAGGACAGTGGTCACCCACAGGTCACCCAGCAACAGGACAGTGGTCACCCACAGGTCACCCAGCATGAGGACAGTGATCACCCACAGGTCACCCAGCAACAGGACAGTGGTCACCCACAGGTCACCCAGCAACAGGACAGTGGTCACCCACAGGTCACCCAGCAACAGGACAGTGGTCACCCACAGGTCACCCAGCAACAGGACAGTGGTTACCCACAGGTCACCCAGCAACAGGACAGTGGTCACCCACACGATAACAACACAGGATGTTGACGACAAAAAACGTAATTAAGATACGAACTTTCATCTCTTATCGCTCATATTTTCTGCGGGCAAATTAATGCCATAAGTTTAGGGAGAGGGAGAGGGAGAGGGAGAGAGGGGGAGAGAGAGAGGGAGAGAGTGAGAGAGAGAGAGAGAGAGAGAGAGAGAGAGAGAGAGAGAGAGAGAGAGAGAGAGGATGGAGAGAGGAAAAAGAGAGAGAGGGTGGAGGAGGAAGAGATGGGGAGAGAGGGTGAGGGGGTGTGAGAGGGGGAGAGACAGGGGGGATGAGAGAGGAGAGGGGTTAAGAGGTTGGGAGAGGAGGGGGAGTGAATATAAGGTTAAGAGGGAGAGGTTATTGAGATAGTTGCAGGGAAAGAAGGGGAATGAAAGATGGGAAATGTGAGGAGTGAGAGGGTGCAAGGGAGAGGGAGAGGGAGACTGGGAGTGAGTGTGTAGAGGAGAAAATGGGAGAGTTTGGCGGACGGGAGGAAGGTTTGGAGGAAATAATTAATAAACCCACATTTTCAATTTGACGGTAAGAACCTTATTGGTCTAGTGACCGTGTGTCTTTACTTTTTGTATTGACTAGTTGTGTCTGCAGGATCGAGCTCTTAGCTCTTGGACCCCGCCTTTATAACCGTCGGTTGTCAAATGTACTGACTCCCGACCTATTTTTCCTCCATTATATTTCACACACACACACACACACACACACACACACACACACACACACACACACACACACACACACACACACACACACACACAGGAAGCAGCCCGTAACAGTTGTCTAACTCTCAGGTACCTATTTACTGCTAGGTAACAGGGGAATCAGGGTGCAAGAAACTGCCCATTGTGTTTCTGCCATACCTTACCTTGAGGTTATCTTGAGATGCTTCCGGGGCTTACCGTCCCCGCGGCCCGGTCGTCGACCAGGCCTCCTGGTTGCTGGACTGATCAACCAGGCTGTTCGACTCGGCTGCTCGCAGCTTGACGTATGAGTCACAGCCTGGTTGGTCAGGTATCCTTTGGAGGTGCTTATCCAGTTCTCTCTTGAACACTGTGAGGGGTCGGCCAGTTATGCCCCTTATGTGTAGTGGAAGCGTGTTGAACAGTCTCGGGCCTCTGATGTTGATAGAGTTCTCTCTCAGAGTACCTGTTGCAACTCTGCTCTTCAACGGGGGTATTCTGCACATCCTGCCATGTCTTCTGGTCTCACGTGATGAGACCTGAGCTCGAACCACCAGGACCGGGCTATCACCGGGGCTCGAACACGGACGCTAGGATTACGAGTCCAGGGCGCTGTCCACTCAGCTATCAGGCCCCCTGTGTGTGGGGGGGGGGGGCCTCCGGCAGTAGTATGTACTGGAGTAACTAAGGGTAAAGAGTGTGCCGGCGTCCACTTAATAAACCACCCAAAATATTTGTGACCACAAAACTCCCGAGAAGTGTCCTCCCAGGAGCGCAGGCGAGAGATAAAATTATAATTTCCTTCTGGAAAATATTAAAGGGACTAAAACAATTCCTTACAAGACCTGGAGTTTGATGAATGTGGAAAATAGCACCGTTGAAAAGTTTGTGAAGCAGTGAGTACAGGCTTAGAGACCAACCCGTCCTCCTTATAGCTCGTCGCATTCTGACGTACACTCTACCTAAAGCCAAAAATTGTCGTACTAGAAAATGGTGGCGGCTCGTGAGATTGTCACACTGTCCTGTTTTGTGATCGTGGGTCCTCTGGTAGTTTAGGAGAAGGCACTTTAGTACGACACTTTCTTGACGTTGGGGACGCTCGCGAGAACGGGCTGAAGAGACTAAACATTAATGGCCCTAAATTTTCCAAAACCGTTCCTCTAAATTAAGTTGACTATTTTGCAAATTCTAATACGCCATCTTATGAGACCAGGAGGCATAGCTTAAAGTGCTAAACAGCCTCGTTGGAAGGAAGAGGAGCAAAAGGTACACTAAAAGGCAATTCCATGAATTGCCTTAAAAACGACTAAAATGCCTAAAACTGTATTCTCTTGAGTGCAGGCGGGAGAGATACATAACAATTTACGTGGAACATATTAGAGGGGCTGGTCCCAAACCTGTACACAGAAATAACACCACATGAGACCAGAAGACATGGCAGGATGTGCAGAATACCCCCGTTGAAGAGCAGAGGTGCAACAGGTACACACAGAGATCACACTAACGAGATGCATCAAATGAACAAATCCACAAGGGCCGTGACGAGGATTCGAACCTGCGTCCGGGATAAATCCTGGTTTGTGCCTCGGAGAGGCTACGGAATCCAGTAAGTTCAGTAGAACTTCGGTTTCAACCCTTTTACCCTGTCGTAGCTCAGTCGATTAAGGCAGTGTCTGGGATGCTCCCGGACGCAGGTTCGAATCCTCGTCACGGCCCTTGTGGATTTGTGCAATAGGTAATCTATCAACATCAGAGGCCCAAGACTCTTCAACACACCCGCTACAGATACAAGCCAATACTAACCGACCTCTCACAGTGTTCAAAAGAGAACTTGATAAATACCTCCAACGGATACCTGATTAATCTACGACAGACTGCGAGCAGCGGCATCTCACAGTCTGGTTGACCACACCACTAACCAAGAGGCCTGGTCAGAGACCGGGCCGCAGGGGCATTCATTTCCGGAACCATCACATGATGAACACAAGGCAGACACTTGCCACAACGATGCTCTCTCTTCTCAACCCATCCCTGCCCTTGTGGGGCAGTCAACACTACAATGTTGGATTGACATATTCATAAATTGAAACATGTACAGTCTAATGTAGTTGACTGTAACCATGATATTATATATATATATATATATATATATATATATATATATATATATATATATATATATATATATATATTGGTCTGACATTGTCACATTCTTAATCACGTGTTTATTTTCGTGATATACACACACACACACATATATATATATATATATATATATATATATATATATATATATATATATATATATATATATATATATATATATATATATATATATTTGGACGTAGAATCGCTGTTTACCAACGTACCTGTGGACGAGACAATCGGAATGATAGCCGACAGAGTGTATCGTGATCCAGCCTGTACTCCTCTTGACATGCCAGAAAGTATTCTGAGGAAACTACTCCAAGCTTGTACTAAAGAGGCACCCTTCTTGAGCCCGGATGGGCACATGTATAAGCAAGTAGATGGGGTCGCCATGGGTTCTCCCCTAGGTGTCCTGTTTGCAAACTTCTACATGGGTACCATCGAGCAAAAAGTCTTAGTCGACATGAACTTGAAACCGGCCATATACTGCAGGTATGTTGACGACATTTTTACACAGGTACCTGATGTCAGACATCTGCAGGAGCTGAAGGAGGCATTTGAGCAGAGTTCCGTGCTGCGTTTCACTTACGAGACGGAAAAGGATGGGAAGCTGCCTTTTCTAGATGTAACAGTCATGGAAAAGGGCGGAGGTTTCCACACTGCAGTCTACACAAAGGAAACAAACATAGGAATGTGCCTAAATGCCAACAGCGACTGCCCTGACAGGTACAAGAGGAGTGTTGTTAACGCATACGTCGACCGTGCTCTCAGCCACAGCTCAGAATGGAAGCAAGTCGACGAAGAACTCTGTAGGGTAAGGCAGGTCCTAGTCAATAACGGCTTCTCCAATGGTTTCATCGAAGACATCATAAGAAGGAAAGTGAAAAGCCATGCAACCTCCGAAGAGACAACTAACACAACACCTATACCCCCTATTAGACTATTTTACAGGAACTTCTTTTCCACAGCTCATAAAACAGAGGAAAGGGTCCTGAAAGATATTGTTAATAGAAACGTTATCCCTACAGACAAAAATCAGAGGATACAACTGACGATTTACTATAAAACCAGAAAAACGGCCAGCCTACTCATGAGAAACTCTCCAGACACAAAACAGAACGCTTTAAAAGAGACTAACGTCGTCTATGCCTTCAAATGCCCACTTGGGGACTGTAAGCTCCAAAAAACCCAGTATATAGGCAAGACAACAACATCTCTTTCTAGGCGTTTAACGATG